TGGTTATTGTATGGTCCCTACTCAAATGATCATATTACCATAGGTAAAGTTACCTCTCTAAAAAGAGACCCCCCCCCCCAAAAAAAAAAAAAACAACAACAAAATGTTATGACCAATATATTCTATTAAGAAGTTCTTTAATCCAATAAATTAACAAACTATTGATTTTTAAAAATAAAAATGTTGAACAAAAAAGGTTCAATGATGGGGTCTATTTGCAAGTGGGCGATAGTACAAGATGTCTATCCACAATTAACCCTTTTGAAAATTAAAGGAGAAAGTTATATCTTCTTACGATTGACTGCTTGGAGCTTCCCCAATGCAAACTACCTCATCTGCAAGTCTCACATGAAGAGCATCTTGATCAATTGTGGAGTAGACAGCAACACATGCTATCCCCATCTCATGTGCCGTTCTGATGACCCTAACTGCAATTTCACCTCTGTTAGCAATTAGAATCTTCTCATCACGACAACTAGCAAGGATGTCACTAACATTTGACATCATTCTGTTAGCAATTAGAATCTTCTCATCACGACAACTAGCAAGGATGTCACTAACATTTGACATCAAAGTGTTTTTTTCCAAAATAACTCATCCAACCCACAACATCACAACTAAAAATAAAGTTTAGTCATCCAACCCACAACAAAAGCAAGTAAAATAAATTAAATCCTATATTAAATTAAAGTTCAAATTCACCCAAATATTCAACAAAAGGTATCATCTTCTATCCAAAATAACTCATCTAACCCACAACATCACAACTAAAAATAAAGTTTAGTCATCCAACCCATAACAAAAGCAAGTAAAATAAATCAAAGCCTACATTAAAGTTCAAATTCATCCAAATATTTAACAAAATGTATTATCTTCTATCCAAAATAACTCATCCCTAGCTTGAATCCTCGTCAATATCATCCCCAACATTTCTATTGTTGTCCAAGTGATACTTCAAGATATGGTCTTTCATCCACACCACTTGAGATTCCAATGGCTTCACTATGAATAGCCTAGCTTGCTTTTCATTATCATATAGATGATCGAGCGCATGATCCAATACATGTTGTGGGAATTCACAAAGAGAATATATGCTCTCGGCCAATTTTGCACTATAATGTTGATTGCCCTCTTTAATTGCGCATGCAATTTCTCCCACTTTCTCAAGAAAACTTGTCATCTCCTCATAATCCTCATTTCGTACAATACGACGTTTGTTTGCACGCGATGATTTGTCAATTCTAACTTTAGTTTTTGCATTTTTCATCTTGTTAGCTTTCGCCTCCGTGGATGATCCAACTTGGATAGGAGAACTATCACTCTCAACGGGTAAGTCAAAATCAATTACCTCATTGGCTACTCCTTCAAAATTATCATACGCATTCTTTTTAAACTCTTCAGTTACGAAATCATCTCCGATAATTAGCTTCAATTCATCGTAGTGCTTCAAAGGCTTGTTCACGTAGTCCTTAAGTCTTGGATTTTTCTACAAAACAATAGGATATATAAGAAATATTTACACTAATTCCATGTTCAGTCAAAACATATGTAAACACTCAAGCTGCAACAGCTGAAGATACACACACACAGTGTGTGTATCTGCAGCAGCTGCAGATACACATGTTGTGTGTATCTGATAGGATGTACTTCATGGGATCAAATACATGTAGTGGAAACAATATAAAATTAAATCTAAAAGCAGAAAATTAAGAAATTATTACCCTTGCCCATGTGCTATAAACACTTGGATCAAGTGTTATTGTTTTTGTTTCTTCATCCCAACCGGCGCCACTGATTTCATGACATTTTTGCATGTCTAGATAACGATTCCGAAGAGTTCTATTATCTGCTGCTGCAGCAGATACACACAACATGTGTATCTGCTGTGTATGTGTAGAAGATACACACAATACTGTGTGTATCTACTGCAGATACACAGCAGATACACATGTTGTGTGTATCTGCTGCAGCAGCAGATACACACAACATGTGTATCTACAGCTGCTGCAGATACACATAACGTCTCTGAAGCGCAGCAGCAGGTCGTGTGGGTCTGCGCTATCGGAGCTAGCCAAAACCAAGGCTTCTCCTGAGCATGGAAGCCCCCTAAGAGGTTGATTTTGTACATATGCACCTCTCAAATATTTCTATGTTGAATGCCTCCTAAATGACTAATATACAAAAAAAAAATTCTCGCACAAGTGTTGGATGGTGCCTGAGATTGCCTGTAGTAGTGATAATGATCTGGTTGAACTTAATTGGTGGGTGAAAGAGCTCGGTTCCTGTGGAGGATTGAGCTAAGCTCACAAATGAAGTGAGATTGTTCGGTTCGTCATATAGTCTCACTATTGAATTAATACGTAAGAGAGAGAACTGTAAACATGAAATTGGAGTAAATTCATAATAGCTTAAACTTTTTGTTCCAATCCTCTAGTTAAGACATTAACTTCCACTTGGACTTGATTTTGAAACCATAAAAAACTTATATAGCCTTTGATTGATGCGGCATATTTAGAGAAGTGCAATGGATTTAGACTGAAACCATAAAAAACTTATATAGCCTTTGATTGATGCGGCATATTTAGAGAAGTGCAATGGATTTAGACACTAATACACAATTCCTTATATAGCCTTTGATTGATGCGGCATATTTAGAGAAGTGCAATGGATTTAGACACTAATACACAATTCATGTAGTGGAAACAATATAGTCAATAGGACGTTCAATAGGTCAGGTTAGTAGTGAATCCAGAATTTTGTCCTAATGATGCTTGTATATGTTGGTGACATCCTAAGTAGTAAATATAAGTTAAAAAACAATTTAATGGTGTCATGTGATATTACTGAACACTAAATAGCTCTGTCACTAACCATACAAATACTGTGTGTATTGGTATCTGTAGCAGATACACACAAATATTGTGTGTATCTGCTATAGATATACACAGTATTTGTGTGTATAAAATGCAGATACACATAGCACATGCACATTGTATTTTTTATCATTATTATATATTTTAAAATTAAATCTAAAAGTAGAAAATTAAGAAATTATTACCCTTGCCAATGTGTTATAAACACTTGGATCAAGTGTTATTGTTTTTGTTTCTTTATCCCAACCGGCGCCACTGATTTCATGACATTTTCGCATGTCTAGATAACGATTCCGAAGAGTTATATAGTGGTTTCCCACATTGTCCTTGGTAAATAACTGATGGAATTTTTCAGTACATGCTTTAGCCGCATTATTGAATGCCCTAGACCGCATACTCTTGTCACACTTTCCACCATTCCTAGCTTTATTGGCCAAGAAAGGAATGAGGAAATCATCAAGCTCATCATCCCACATGATGTTTCTAGCTTTCTTCACTTTCACAGTTTGATTAAGATTTTTTGAAGGTGACGAAACTTCCTCATCTTGTTCACGAGCTACCCTCTTAGACCCACCACTAGCTTCCGATGAGGGGATTTCAAATGATAATAATTTTGGCGTTCCACTCATGGGTGAACTTTTTGATCTCATTTGTGGCATTGGTGTACCATTTAAAAATTGCATCCATGGTCCACAAGCATAAGGAGGAGGCATCATACCTGACATAGGATTTTGGAAAGAACCATATCCAGATGTTGGAGTTTGGAAAGAAGGAGGCATCATACCTGACATAGGATTTTGGAAAGAACCATATCCAGATGTTGGAGTTTGGAAAGAACCAAATGAGAATGGAATTTGGGGTATTCTTCCTGTAGGGCTATTATCATGAAGTGCTGCATTTGAATTTTACTCTCTTGACTCTCTTGACTATCTCTATTTTGAGAATAAAATTTCGGACGAAATGAGCCATTTTGATTCTCCATCCCTGCTTGCAAAAATATTGTCAAAAGAAAAAACAATTATCATCAAGTACTACAAATAGCAAAAATATATATATCTTTTAAAACGATCAAATCCTACAAATCACAAGTTTAAATTCTACATAAAGCAACACTACATACCACATTGCATACATGTTGAAATGATCTAGAATTTACAAAACATGTTGAGATGATCTAGAGCACTTATACAAGAGATCTTACTCAAAGAACTACTGCTGGAGTTATTCACTTCTGCAACAGAGCAAAACAGTGCTCTGACATTCCCATCATCACTAAAGTCTAAACCAAACACTTCACAAATAAATTTTTAACAAAAGAAAAACTCCAACAACAGTAAACAAAAAATTGATTCGCCTTCTATTACTATCCAAAGTTCTTCAACAAAACAAACCAAATCATCTCACTGAACTTCTCTATAGAAACAAAAACAAACAAATTGAATCTCAAATCCTACAAATCACAAAAATATATATCTTTTAAAATGATCAAATCCTACAAATCACAAGTTTAAGTTCTACATAAAGCAACACTACATACCACATTGCATACATGTTGAAATGTTCAAATCCTACAAATCATAACAAAGTTTAAATTCCATAACATAGCACATTACAAACATTACATATAAATCTCAAAAAGGTATCTCATACGTGACTCCTTTACGATGTCGATTACAATATTCAATCCACATTTCATATGCAATTTGATCTCGCCGTGACTTCCACTCTTCCCGCGTATCAAGTTGTTCTCGTTGAGTCATTTGTTGTGTAAAATCAGTAATGGATGCATCTTCATTCAAGATATCTCCATCCTCCTCATTTACATGCATAAACTCATTCAAGAACTTATCATTCGGATCAATAATAGCAATATAATTATGTAAAATAGTACATGCAATTACGATGTTTACTTGACTTGGGAAAGGATGATGAGGTTTGGCAGAAAGAAACTTGAATCGACTTTTTAAGATTCCAAATGTGCATTCTATCTTACTACGAAGTGATGAATGCCGAAGATTGAATAACTCTCGACGATTGTTAGGAACTCTTCCACTATGTTCTTTCAAGTGATATCGTACACCACGATAAGGAGCAATGAATCCCGGCATGGTTGGGTATCCAGCATCACACAAATAATATTTTCCTACAATATTGATGAAGTGCATTATTATATTACATATAACCTAATAATATATTGACTAATTTATCATCTTAATCGAATTTGTGTTTATGTCTTACCTTCGTAGACTCTCAAACCATTTGGTGGGGGCAAGGATAGTGCATCCTTAAGAATTGTGAAGTCATTTGCAGCTCCCTCCCAACCAGCCATCACATATGTGAATCGTTTATTTGGTGTTACTCAACCAAAACATTTTGTGTGATCCCTTTGCGTCCTCTAAATTTAGGAGCATCTTTAGTTGACACTATTGCATCTATGTGTGTTCCATCTATTAGACCAATACAATCCTGAATAAAAAAATATCTTTCAAGATCCTAATTAGTATCATCTCAATAGAATAGCTATAATTGTTTATAATTAATATAGGTAACTTACCTTAAAAAATGGAAACCGTTGACTAGATTCCATAATTTCTGTCGAAGTTTCATTTGGGGCTTGTTTCATGAACCTATCCCGAAGAGAAAAAATAGCTCCTAGAACTTTATTGAAATACCTGCTAATAGTCTCCCCGGAACGTATGAAGTCAATTCTGCAAGCCCTATTTTTGGACTTGTGTCCCATTATTTAGAGAAATGTAGCCAACTGTTCTTCTATAGGAACATGGATTGTGTCCTTCAATAAGCCCTCATCTCTCATCATTTGAGCTAAGTTCATAAAAGTTCCCATACGCATCCTGAGATAGTCTTGACAACTCGATGTACTACTATTTAATATCTCACGCATATGAGAATGTCTGTCTAAGTCTCTTACATACGAAGGATGACGAGGGATGTTACGTCTTATAAGTGGACGATGTTGATATCGGCATATGAATACCATTAGCATAACTAGTACAGTAGCAACAGCAGCTGCATTGTTCATCCTACGAACAACTTCATTTCTGTCCATCTTTTTTATATATTATAAGAAAGTAATTAGTTTTTGAAAGTAAGAAAGTAAAAGTAATAAATTATAGCCTAAGAAAGTTATATACATTCAATCTTTGAGTACATATAACATGATTCCTGAGGAATAGTGCATGAAAAGAATAGTGCTTGAAAATTCCATACAACAAAATGTTAGAACAATATATACTTTGAATATATTTTTTATATGTACTACCAATAACTTCTGTTCAATACGTACAGAATTAAATAATTTCTTCAAATCTAAGCACCAGATCAAACCTACTACTTTTAATTTGGATTTGTATCCCTAGAATTTAAAAAAAAAATTCCATACATTGGTTTTTTGTTGGGAGATAAGCTTGTATATCTCATGTTTAACTTGAAGTTATTTGCATGATCTTGAACTATATGAAGTTAAATATGCATGCATGTTTATTAAAGTTAATTTTTTTATTTTTATTATCATTGTGGGTCAAATATTTAGGCTAGGTTCTGATATTTTGGCTATTAATTATCTTGTAGTTCAGTAACTTCAGTTTTTAAGAGCTAAATTTTTTCCTTCATTGAATACCTCTGTATTTTTATTTTATATAGGAACCAACTTGATACAACCATTCATGAACAGTTCTATTCTCTAAGTATTTCAACTTACATGGATATTTTATTCCCCCTTCCATTTATTTATATGATTGTGAATACTAACAAAAGTTTGCAGTGTGTGGGAATTTTTTTTTTTGCTAAATAGTGTGTGGGATTTATATCTACCAAGATATGACTTCTATAATAGTTGACTATGATAATAAAATTATTGCTTTCAAAGTCTTTGTGATTCTGTTACTAAGGTTAATTTGTGTAATGCTTTATGATGTGTAAATTTTCGTTGATGAATTAATCATTTGGCACTTATGGCAAGTAATTGTTATACCAAAAAACCCTACTTGAAGGTTGCTCAAAAGCATTTATCTGCAAGCTTTAGGCTTGATTTCCTATCAGCAATCAACACCAAAAATCAAGTTTCTATCAGCAATCAAGTTTTTCTTAAATCTGAGAGATACTCATCATCTAGATCAAGCAAATAAATGAGAAAAAGGCAAAATTTAAAAAAATACCCATCATCTAAGAGATACCAAATTAAGGGGTGTTTGCTAGATCGATAATGAATTTAAAGTTCTGTGCAAAAATAAAAGAAATTTGAAAGGGAACTTGAAATAATAGAGAAAGGCGAAATTTTTATACCTCGACCAAATCCTTTCCTCTAGCGGATCTACCCTCAAGCAAACGACGGAGTCGCCGATTTTCTGCTCCGACTTGAAGCGAAGCAAACGACGGAGACGGAGGCACTGATTTTTTCTTCTTCTCTGACTTGAGGCGCAGCTAGGTGCGGAGGAGAAAGGGTGAAAGAAAAAATGAAAGCTGAGAGAAAAAGGAGGTAACCCTAGGCAGTGTTTGGTTTTTTAATTATTTTTTTCTGACTTGTTGTCAGCTTTCTGGCCAAATCAAGTCTTTTTTTTTTGAATTGCCTTTGCCAGCCACATCAGCATAGTAAAGCACTTTACATTATTTTTACAGCTACAAGCAAACAATTGAAAATGAGGAAAGCTGACAATAGGACCCACTTTTTTACACTTTCCCTCCTTTTACATGCTAAAAACATACAATAAACTTTTACAAAAGAGCAGAACCAAACCCACGGACGTCGCCCAGCGCAAACATAATGAACCAGTACGAGTCAACCAGCTTCGTCTCAAGCTGATGGAGCGCTACTCATTGCCAGCCATACGTTCAAAGATTGCCTAATCCAAAATCTCATCCTCTGCTCGATCGCATCCTCTCCTCTCAATCCTCACTCCCTCCACTCACCACAAAAACCCCTGCACTCCTCTCTCTTAAAGTTTCCCAAAACTCCCTCTCCTTCTACGATCATCTCCCCTCCGCCGCTTCACATCAATACATTTTCCATGGCCTCGGCTACGCTCTCGGTAGCCAATGCCTCCCTTCAGGTCCAGCCCTGATCTATCCTCCCTCGTTCTGTACACGTCTCGCTCTTGATTTCTTGATTTTGAGATGTTAAAATTTGTTTTGTTTTGTTTGTACGTGCGCATGCAGAAGGGATTCTCAGACTTCTCGGGGCTGAAGGGTTCGTCACTTCCTTTCTCGAAGAAGGCTGCGTCTCCTGACGACTTCCTCTCGGTTGTCGCCTTCAAGACCTCGGCTGTAAGCTTCGAGAGATATATATATACTCAATCCCCGCGTACTCTAGTTTACAGTTTCAAACGTAGTGTCAATGTTAGAATATAAAACTATAACCCTCGTCAGCATTTCGGAGTCTTGGCGTAGCGATTAGGGCCGGACTTCAAGAGTGCAATCTACAGTTGCTAAGATTTCGCTTTTAAATCATTCAGTGTCAAGCATTATCGAGACAAGGGTCACACTCTTCTTAATTTTCATTCAAGATAAATATAATCGATCCGCCAGTAAAATGATAATGATGGAAATGCTCTCTCTCTCTAGTTTCTCCTGCCTACCGCCAGAAAGAATCCTGATTCTCAAACAACTTGCCTGTAATAACATAATAAACCTTATATTCGCTTGAATTGAATTCAATCTTTGTTGTCTAGTAGCAACTACAAAGGGCTACATTTAATTTACGTCCAAATATAACAAACATTCTTTTCAAAAGAAAATTACTAATGCATTTATTTTGAATAGACAAAATTAGAGATATTTTCACATAAGTTTAATGAATATCAATATATGCACTCTATAGTCGTTGATTTGTTTAATAATTAAGCAGTAATTTGATTTATTCTAAATATAGCACTCATCATAACTTACGCTCAAATATAAATCAAAATCATTAACTACACAAATCAACGATTATGATGAAATAGTGGTCACTCTACTACTTTTTCTGATAGTGTAGAGGATCCAAATCCCTCACGAATTTGGATATCACAAAGTATTGAGTATTCACTTGATAAACTGAATACAATTTACTCCCGAATTTGGATCTTCTCCTATGCAAAAAAAATGTACTAGAGAGATCACTATATAATCATAGTTATTGATTTGTCTAATAGATGGCTATGATTTATTTTAAATTTAGCAGTTATCATACCCCAATGATTTGCACACATTTCCTAAAAATTACACTTAAAGGCAAATTACAACCAATGATTAAGCAAGTTAATGACTATGATATAGTAATGATCACTCCACCACGTTTTTTTTATAGTAGAGAGGATCTGAATCCATACATTCACATAAGAACTTCTGGACTATTGAGTAATTTGTAGTGAGAAGCATTTATTAATAAGGGAATCTAAGCAATACAGGGTCCTTTCAAGGGAAAAAAAAGATTCTCGAAGATTATAGAAAAATTGATATAAATTGCTAAAAGTTTTAAAAAATTAAAATAGAAATATATACTTATCGCATGACCAATTGGTCTGAATCAAACCCCACTGCTATATACCTATCCATACATATGATTTAAGATCAAAATATAAACTTAGTTAACTTTATGTCTATGTCTAAATTACTCTTTTTTGAGGGAATAAATTAAAATTTTAAAATAAAATAAAATAAATATTTTAGTAAATAAGGACATAATTAGAGTTAAGAATACTCTACATCCTTGATTGAAAATCATGTAAGTTTACTGTGTGGACCGATAGTATCTTCGTATTTTGTTGGTCAAATGATAATAAGTTTTGTGCGAATTATGTTAATAATTTTGTAACTGGGACCCACTGTAAAAAGAGATATCATTGATGTGCCTTGTAGATTGTAGGATTTTTCTATTTTCAAGGACGCAGAGGATGCAAAGCCACTAATTAGCTATTAAATAGTTATTATTATAATCGTAATTAATATAATTTTAACTTTATCCTGACTTTAGATAATTTATTAATATTTTTTAGATTTTTATTTTTGAAGTTTTACATTACTTTTTATTTAAAGATTTGCATTTTTAATTTAATTTTAAACTCAAGCTTTTGTCGCATATCTGCATTAGATTTAGGATTAGGAGTAGGAATAAAAAAATGTTAAAATTTTAATAGATACATAAGCATAGTACACTTAAAAAAATTATATATATATATATATATATATATATGATATTAATGAGTATCATTGTCATAGGAGGGGATTTCCTCCTTGACGTCTATTGAATCCAAACTTGATACAAAGCTTCCTGTTTAAGGATCTCAGATCTAGATGGGGATCTCAGAGTTCGTCGACGGCGAGAGTGATGGCGGATTTGGGGCTGGGGTACAACGGAGTTGGGGCTGCAGTTCATCTCCTAGCTCTTCAATAGCGTCTCAAAGCCCGAGGGGGTGGGGGAAGGAGGAAGGGGGAGAGGTCGGATGGATCGACAGAGAGCCCGAGGCGGTGGAGGACGAGGGAGAGCTCGGAGGAGGAGCTGAGGCGGTCGGAGTTGCGGTCGAAGAGGAGGATGAGGAGGGGATTTCTTGACGGAGGAGGAGGAGGGTATACGTGGGACGTCGCGTCGGCATCGGCGTCGAGAGAGGGAGGAGGGGAGGCGTCGGCGTGAAGAGATGAGAATGAGAGAAGAGAGGGATCTGGGGAGGGTGAGGGGTTTTGGGTTCTGGGGAGTTGGGGCAGAGAGAGAGAGATAGGGAGTCATCTTCGTTTGATTGAGGCCAGCTGGATTCGAAAAGGGGTGATTTTTGCAAAAATCACCCTGCAGCTCAGGAGTGCGTACGCACTAGTGCGCATGTGAAATGGACTCTATATATATATATATATATATATATATATATATATATATATATATATAAGTGTTCCTAAGGTGACACCTTAGATAATCATCTAAGGACGCAACCTAAAATCACATGATTGAACTACATTATGGATGATCCGCTCCGTTGAACTTGATCTACATATTCTAAAATCCTAACACACTAAGTTTGGGGTAAAATCATCATCATTTGACCCTTCGTCGAGCCATGTGAGGTTCTATTCATTCGAAACCGTTAAAATTGATGTGAGTGGATGAAGAGTCAAACGACTACGGGTTCACCCTAAACTTGGTGTGTTGGTGTTTTAGAATATGTAGATCAAGTTTAATGGAGCGGATCATCTACAATGTAGCTCAATCATGTGATTTTAGGCTGCGTCCTTAGATGATTATCTAAGGCGTCACCTTTAGGAACATCTTCCTATATATATATATTATTTATATATATATATATATTATATATATATATTATATTATATATATATATTATATATATATATATATATATATATAGAGAGAGAGAGGAGAGAGAGAGAGAGAAAGCAGCAAAACTTGTGTCAACTTAAGTGGATAACACAAAGTTATCCACCAAACTTTTACCCATCATATGTTTAGGGATCCTTGCATGATATGAAAAGGTTTTTTTTATATTAATAAATGACTATCAATTAGTTGATGTCCACCAAACTTCCTAGCAACTTTTTATTAATATAAAAAATATTTTTTATATCATGCATATCCGTAGGCAATATGGAGTGGCTCTAAAAATTTTGGTGGATATTTTTTGCTATCACTTAAGTTGACACAAGTTTTGCTCTATATGAAGAGAGAGGAGATATATATATATATATATTATATATATATATATATATATATATATATATATATTAGAGAGAGAGAGAGAGAGAATAGAACATGTTATCCTAATATATATTAACATAATTAGCTGACTTTAGTGCACAAACAATGCAATTGGATTTAGATCCTCTCACAATCTTAAAAAACCACAGAGGGGACCTTTTCTCAATCACAGCGATCTATAACTATTTGATGAATATTTATGTCTTATTTTAAGTATAATATTTATTACATTGGTATGATCCACAATTATTTTTCCTTTAACTACAAAAAAGAATTATCAAGGTTCTCTGAATGATATAGATAGTTATGATTGAAAAAGCTAATCTCTGTCACACTTTCTTATAATAAAGGTATCAAATTAAATTTTTAGAAATTATGTTTTGAATTCCTAACTAGTGATAGCATCTTAAAGTACTCAACCAATACACTAATGCCCTTAGCTTGTTGCATTCTTAGGAACATCCAAATATATATTATTTAACGAACATGTCTACTATTTTCATTTTCCATTCAGAAATAGTTGTGTTCATGAGCTAAATAATAGATAATTATGATTAATTGAAAGAAAATAAAGATTTGACCAACATTCTTTTCATCTCAGAATCCGACTTAACTACTTCTATAAAATTTTCAGGTTGGCAGCAGCGGCGGGTACAGGAAGGGAGTAACAGCAGGCCAAGAATAAACGGTGGCCATCAACGCTCGGCCGAATCGCCGCCAACTTCCTCCGCCTGCTGGCACGGCCGGGAGAACTCCCCGCTCGACGTCATCGCCATCAATGACACCGGAGGCGTTAAGCAGGCCTCCCACCTCCTAAAGTACGACTCCACCCTCGGCATCTTCGACGCCGACGTCAAGCCCGCCAGCGACACCTCCATAGCTGTTGACGGCAAGGTTATTCAGGTCGTTTCCAACCGTAACCCTGCCAACCTCCCCTGGAAGTAAGTTACATCTAAGAAGTGTGTTTGATTAGAAGTAGTTAATCGCCGAGTTCTCTACATATTTGTATTTGGATGTAGAGAATCTGACCTCTTCTGATGGAAGGAAATTGAAACAGCACGTTAGTCAAAGTTTCTTAACAAATAAACGTAGTAGCAAATGCTTTTACAACATCATGCAGTTCCAACTTTGCAATAACAACCGATCAAACATGTATTGAGATTATAGTAAATGACATGATCACGCTCCATGTTTCAAAGGGTTAATTCACAAAATCCCCTCAACTTTCCAGAGTTTTGCACAACCACCGTCCCCTGCAAACGGTTAAGTTTAAGCTTTTCTGGACGGAACCTCGAGTTGCAAATAAGTAGAGGGTTTGATGGGCATGAGGTAGAGGCTTGTTTAGTGAAATGAGTTACCAAGAGATGAACTCACATTTTTTGATGCGGCAAGTAGGGTGAGCTTCACCACATGGCTATATCTTGATAGCCATTTTACTAAATAAGCCGTCAACCCATTATACCCATTTTTTCATAACTAAAATGCTTATCACTTCGACTGTGTAACATAAACTATGATGGTCAGGGAATTGGGAATTGACTTGGTTATTGAGGGAACCGGAGTGTTTGTAGACAGTGAAGGAGCAGGCAAACACATCCAAGCTGGAGCTAAGAAGGTCCTCATCACCGCACCGGGCAAGGGCGACATCCCGACCTATGTGGTGGGTGTCAACGCCGACGCCTACAACCCTGACGAGCCCATCATCAGCAACGCTTCTTGCACAACCAACTGCCTCGCGCCGTTCGTTAAGGTCCTCGATCAGAAATTCGGTATGTCCAATTCTCAATGTACTTTTTGATGATCAAGTTTATTCTGTTAGTAAACTAGGATTGATGAGTTTTTCATGGTCTTGACTGGTGTATTGCTAACGTGACATATATCTAAACTACATATATTAGATAGTCAATGTATAACCACTCGGGTGGCCCGGATGATTAAGAGGTTCCAATTAATGTGGCTCCCATGGTCTTGAGTTCGATTCCAGACTGAGTTACCCAAAAACTCTCAAAGCGTCAATGTCTCCTGGCTTTTCGGATATGTGACATGTCTGCTATGCACCATTGTGTCTGGTGTACTGCATGTTTGATTAATACAATACCCTCTAAAACCTAATACAATACCAACCTGCAGGCATCATCAAGGGCACCATGACAACCACCCACTCCTACAGCCGCCCTCAACATCGTCCCCACCTCGACCGGCGCCGCCAAGGCTGTGGCCCTCGTCCTCCCCTCCCTCAAGGGCAAGCTCAACGGCATAGCCCTCCGCGTCCCCACCCCCAACGTGTCAGTTGTAGACCTCGTCATCCAAGTCTCCAAGAAAACATTCGCCGAGGAAGTCAATGCTGCCTTCAGAGAGAGCGCCGACAATGAGCTGAAGGGGATCCTCTCCGTCTGCGATGAGCCGTTGGTGTCGGTGGACTTCCGGTGCACCGACGTGTCGTCGACCGTCGACTCGTCGTTGACGATGGTGATGGGGGATGACATGGTGAAGGTGATTGCATGGTATGATAATGAGTGGGGTTACTCGCAGAGGGTGGTTGATTTGGCTGATATTGTTGCTAACAACTGGAAGTGAGGCTCTACATTGAAGTATTCTTGTGAATGAATTTTATGAATTTTTGTTGAACCGTTGTAAGGAGATTTTTAAACCTTTTGAAATGTATATTTCTTTCAAAATTGTCCAAGATTGATGTTTCTTGCCTTCCTTGGGTAAGATTTGGCCTTCAAAGAGACTAGAAATTTTTCTACTCACATTTGTATGGTATTAATGTTCTTTAATGTGCAGTCTTTAAACATCACTACTTTGCGGAAAAGCGTGTTTAAGATGCTTATTTTCAGAAAATTTTTAACCTATGTTATCTTTTGGATTTATGAAGAAATTTAAAATTTTATAAATAGAATAATCATTTGGTTAACAAACCTGACTTATTAGGCCACCTTATGAACTAGTTTTTCATAAATTAGATAATTCAAGTTTGTTTAATGTGGAGTAAAAAGGTAGCATATTTGGTATGTTGGCAAAACAAATGGATGCAAGAAAAACTAACATAATGAAAAACCTTTTTGGTATGTTGGCAAAACAAATGGATGCAAGAAAGACTTGGGCCGCACCGGGTTTTGTTTTGGCCCTGATTTCTTTGGTATAAATAGGAATGTTTGGTGGGAAATTTGTAAGAAGGCAATTGAGAATGTGATTTATTGCATTATCTCTCTAATTGGCTTAGACAAAGAATAAATACAATTCTCTCAATGCAATTTCTCTCTAATTAACTTAAAAAAATTACAATCTTCTTGTATCGGAATCCCGATTTACAAAAGAGAAAAAGATCGACGGAGATCCTCCCCTTTGTTTAAGTCTAGGTTCTTCACGGTTGCAATGGAGTGCCTCCCTCGAATTGATGGGTTTGTAGACTCAGATTATGCGAGCGATCTAGACAGACGACGATGTACTACTGGTTATGTGTTCAGAATATATGGTGCTCCAGTTAGTTGGTGATCGATGTTACAGGCTACAGTTGTATTTTTACTATAGATGTTGATTATATGGCCATGGCAGAGGGAGTAAAGGAAGCATTGTGGTTGTAGGGTCTTCTAGATGATTTGGGGGTTGAACATATGATTGTGTGAACTTGTGGTGCGATAGTCAGAGTACGATTTATTTGGCTAAGAATCAAGTTCATCATTCTCGTACCAAGCATATTGACGTCAGGTATCATTTTGTGCGGGATGTTATAGAGGAAGGTGATATTTCTCTCATGAAGGTGCACACAAATGAGAATCTTGCATACATGTTGACCAAGGTGGTGACAGGTAGCAAGTTTCAGCATTATTTAGACTTGCTTCATATCTGTCCGTGTTGATCTTCTCAAGAGGGTATGGCCCTTCGGGGCGGTGATGGGGTGAGGTGGAGACTATATGGAGACTATTCAGAATTACGGTTAGCTTGATCCTGGTCAGAGGGTACGTAGGCAGCTATGGTATAATGGTGCAGCTGGTTTTGGCCTGGTTTGGTGTTTCAGATCTCTCTTGTGATGCTCGCATCATTCTTCTGGTGTTCGTCCAAATTTGAGGTTTATCAAATGGTGTACGAGGTGGAGAATTGTGAAGGTGTCTCGCCGCAAGACACCAAAAGCTATCTCGCCGGTGAGACGCGCGCGAGACACCCGCGCGAGACACTCAAGCTAGGTGTCTCTCACGGATCCGAACAACGGGTACTTGGGCCACGTCGGGTTTTGTTTTGGCCCTGTTTTCTTTGGTATAAATAGGAACTTCGTTCCTAGGGTTTTGTACGACAGTGTTTTAGCTAGAGAAAAGAAGAGTTTTTCAGATATGAAAGGTGAGATCTTGAGGAGAGAAAAGAAGAGAGAACTTGGAGCGATTGAACAAGAGAGGGGTCATCTTATCTTGGGTAAAATCGAAGCCTCATCTCTTTAGGACGAGCTTGTGGGTTATACAAGTCGTGGGTGTTCTCCATCATAGTGGAATCTCCATTTACCCCTCCCCGTGGACGTAGGCAAGTTTGTCGGACCACGTAAATCTTATGTCTCACTTATTGTATTGGCTATTGCTTGTGTTGGTTGTTTCCCTCGATATTCAAACCTAGATCTGATATTGGGAAGAATGTATATCTCACATTGCTGAGATATTCACTTCTGTTCTTGTTTTCGTTATCAAAACTAGAACATCGAGATTGGTTAGTATTTTGTGAAAACAAAAGTCAGGGCTTTCTCTCAAGGTGATTCGCTTCCGCGGCGAGGTGAGCGTATCGGCCCCCAACAACTATCTACTAGATAATCAATAATTATGATAAAGTAATGATCTCTACGTAACTTTTTAAGCAATGGAGAAGGCTAAAAAAAACCAAGCATCTTCTCAGACTACAACCAAGATTAAACCTTCAAACTCCATTAACCATTATGGGCCCCATTATCATGATTCAAGGTATGTGCTATGACTTAACTCAAAAAGGAAAAGGAAAAAAGAAATATAGGTCGCATGAGGATATGTGTTATACCTTTGCCGAAGGGGTAAAATAAAAATAAAAATAAAAATAAAAATCTCGAAAACTTTCTGCTTTTGAATTTGCTAAACTAAATCAGCCATCTTCTTCTTTCATAAACATGAAATACGTACAACCTCATTGACCGCTATGTCAAAATAATATAGAAGGCCTGCCAATCGACATATTAACCTGTGGAACCAGTTTGGGCCTAGTGGGCCACAGCTCTATAGCTCTTATCTAGCCCATTTGTGTTCTATTAATAATTAATTCTCTTTCTTCTTTCTCTCAAATTTTTTCTTTCATTTTGTCGTTCGGTATTCAAGAAGCACAAGGCAAAAAGATTGCAAATCATACAACTTTAAATCCCCTCTTATAGTAAATAGTTATGCATGTTCAGCCAAAACAAAAAGAATGTGGTTATTGCAAGTTGCGGCCACGCATCTTAAGAGATCACATGATAAGATTTGAGCAGCATAACTTAGATTGATGAGGATGATAAATTGATAATAATGTTAACGTAACTTGGATTGAGATGAGATGCTCCGATGAGAAGTCTACGTACGCTCCGAGAAAGAGAGGGCCCCCGGGTGGATCCCGATCAAAGCCCACGTCAATGCTCAAGTCAGAACATCTCCAACAGCTTCCCCATTTCTCAATTTTGGAGAATTTAGTTAGGTTTTTGGCCCAACAAATTCTCCATCTCATTCCCCAAAATAGGGATGGAGGAGAAAAAATGGGGAAGCTTCCCCAAATCTGTAGCATTCTCCAAATTTTTAGAGGAAAAAATAGATTCTTCAAAATGGGGAAGTTGTTGGAGTTGGTGTAAAAATTAGTTGGAGAATATGACTTTTGCTTCCCTATTTTGAAGAAAAATTTGGAGAAGCTGTTGGAGATGCTCTCAGTGTTCTGTAGGTAGATCATAAACTGTAATCAAAGTCCATAATAAAAAAAAAAACCCATAATCTAAAGACTTCAAATATTAGAAACTATATGCAGGGACCTTACAATCAAATGTGTTAAGATGACAGTTGCTGGCTCTTGATTGATATGTTGCGAGCAATGAATCAATGAAATGACTGTTGGGTCACGTCCTAGCTAGCACAAAATGGCTGTGAGAATGTGTTGATTGCAAGCAATGAATCAATGAAATGCCGAAGGTGTTAGGTTGGAGATTAATTATTAGGAGGCCGAATATCTAAGGGAAGTTGGCTAATATTTAGCCTTTCCGCTATGCTATAATTTGTAAGTTACAGTCACGATCGAGAGTTCTAATGTCACATACATCCTGCAAATTGAAACTCCCTTCTGTTTTTATGCACGAGCTACATGGTGTTTACTTTAATTTTGAACCTGAATTGCTCTGATATCACTTTAAAATGCTCTTCTGGTGTACTAATTAAATCTTTGCAGTGAAGACGGTTTATGATTGTAATTATATACTCTGACATCTCTCTCTCTCTCTCTCTCTCTCTCTCTCTCTCGCTATGAGTTGTGAGCAGCTGGTACGTTTCTCAATTTGTACAATTGATGGTGGACCCTAAACCTGCAGTACAGCTTATTGTTATTGATGCAACCAACTTGATGCCGGGATCCTCACAAGATCTCAGACGACGGTCCCGAAACTGGACAGAGCCCAATTTATGACACATTTGGATTTCTTATCTGGAGGAGTTGGATCGTATATCGATCGAATTCCCTTTTCAGGCCCTCGACTCTTTGGCTGAAAGCAATCAACCCCATGCGTGGTGGCCTAACTCGCTTTTTTGTCTCTAGCTTCGTCTTTAAACTTGCCAGGTGACGCTAGGTAAATGTATGTTCACGTACGTGTTTTGTAGTAGCAAGTTTTATTGGTTTGGTTGATGCCGAGATTTCTTTGGTTTTGGTTGGCATCGATCAAATGAGGAAGTAAGTGTAGCATGTCATGTGGTTATATTTCATTGTACTTGTGAACTAATGAAATAATGATCATCATTTGTTGATATTGCTCTTCAAGAAGAATACAAAACTTATCAGAATATCCCTCGTACAAACAAAATGTTCCGAGCTATACGTGAGACCGTTGAAATCTCCAAACTGTTTGTTACCCTCCTACTATACAATTAAGGCATCCCGCTAAGACTCAAGAGTGTTCTGATGGTATTTGTACGTACTCTTCGAAGTACTCGTTTATGTTTTTAGGGTTCATCAAAAAAATATCAACATAAGTACTGTTGTCCATCTGCTTAGATTATAGGTTTCGTAAGCCCAGACGACTTGGTGCCAAACACAACTTAAGTTTAAAATAAATTTTTATGAATAACCATTGATAAGGTTGAGATTAAAGGACTATGATCTATATGTTTCTTGCTTAATAATACTTACTATAATTATTTTCCTTCTGTCTAAAGGGGATCGAAGAAATGTAAATTCTGTGACATGGGCCTTAATTGGGGAGGGCGGGCATGGGTGTTTACTGAAATAAAACATCAATCAATCAACATGGGCCCATAAGCCCATAACTTCCCCAGCTACGAGACAACTAATCTTCTGTCCATGATTGTTCAAGAGGGAGATGATGGTCCATGGCAGTGCCTGTCTTAAAAAACAGGACAATCAATCAATGAATAGTCGTCTCCCTTTCATATGTTCATCCACAAAAACCTTTTACACCAAAACTAAAGAGATATAAAAGATGAAACACCATTTCTCCTGTTACAAGAGTTTGCTACAGTAAGAATAGCCGTTAACTCACGGTATTGAGTGGGAGAATA